AAAAAAAAAAAAGAAGTACATGAAGGATAAACCTCAGAGTCTCATGAGGCTGGTTCCCTGCCAGGGTGGGAGCTGGAACAGTCAGGGATGAAGTCAGATTTTTGTGAGTAAACGTTTTTGTATCATTTTGACTTTGGAATCAAGGCAGCATACTACACCATTGCACTCCAGCCTGGGCGACAAGAGCAAGACTCCGGCTCAACAGAACAAAAAAAGACAGCAAACAAAGCTGGCGTGCCCACCCTTTTGAGGTTCTTTTCTCACCCTCTTACCATGAATTTTTTTTTTGAGACAAGGTCCCTCTCTGTTGCCCAGGCTGGAGTGCAGTGGCGCCGCTCAGCTCACGACAGCCTCAACCTCCTGGGCTCAGGTGATCCTCCCGTCCCGCCCTCTGAGCTGAGACTACAGGTGTGCACCAGCTCGCCTGGCTAATTTTTGTATTTTTTGTAGAGACGGCATCTTACTATGTTGCCCAGGCTGGTCTCAAGTTTCTGAGCTCAAGACATCTGCCCACCTTGGTCTCCCAAAGTGCTGGGATTCCAGGCGTGAGCAGCGCCTGGCCACGTGTGCGCTGTTCTGTGCTGACCTCGAGAACCAGCCTCCAGCAGCCCTCAGGGACACTGGCACGGCGGGCGGCGTTTCTGTCTCAGAGGCCTGGCCCCGCTGCATGGCTTCCTCCTTTTCCAGTTTAAATTTTATTTGAGAGACGGGGTCTTGCTCTGTCACCAGGCTGGAGTGGAGAGTCACCATCACAGCTCACTGCAGCCTCAGCCTCCCGCGTAGCTGGGACGGCGGAGCACGCCACCATGTTCAGCCAATATTTAAATTTGTGGAGATGAAGTCTCACTATGTCGCCCAGGCTGGTCTCAAACTCCCGGACTCAAGCGATCCTCCCACTCAGCCTCCCAAAGCGCTGGGATTCCGGGTGTGAGCCCCTGCGCCCGGCCACTGCTCCATCCTGAAGGCTCCAGGACTGTGTCCCACCCTCTTGTTCTGTTCTGAGCCCCTGGGCAGCTCCTGCTTGTGATGGCTTTGGCCGGTGTATTGGTGGTCCCACCGCCCGGGTCAGCCTTGGCAGGCCCGGCCCCCAGTAGCCTCGTGGGGTACATGCAGGCAGCAGGGCAGGCGGCCAGCACTGCGGTGTAGGCCCTGCGAGTGTAGATGGCCCTGGGCCTGGAGCCCTGTGGCACGGATGTGCTCTTCCCCCTTGCCGATGAATGAGCGCAGCTGTGTGGGAGTGAATCCCAGAGGGTGCTGGCCACGCATGGGGGAGAGATCCTCCCGGCTGCCTCCCAGTGGTCTTCAGGGGCTCAGAGAGACCCTGCTGAGCACCTCCATCCTCTGCTCCCGGGCAGGGCTGGAATGACCCCAGGATGGGAAGTGCAGGCTTTGGAGAGCTGTCAAGGGGCCTTGGGAGGCCCAGGCAGGCCGGGGTCCCAGGAAAGGGAGGCAGGAGGCAGCGGGGCCGGATGGTGGGGTGCAGGGGCGGAAGGAACAGGACAGTCCGGTCTGGCGGTGCTGGCTGTCGGGGACAGGAGGCCAGTTCACAGAGCGGAATGGTGGGTGGGCCAGGAGGGAAGGGGAGCCTTTTGAAAAAGGCTTTCAGGGACTGTTTACTTTTAATGATTGGAACAAAAGACAAGGAAGACCGCGTTTCCTAAAGGCGCTTGTTCCGGACCTGCTAGTACTGCTCCTTGGACTTGACCTTGGCCTCCCGCCAGGCCTGGCAGTGGACAGCAGGGTCGCTCTTCCCAGCGAGGGAGAGCGTGGGTCCCCAGGAAGCGGGGAGGTGGTATAGCTGGGTTTCGGATGCCCATTCTGGAACGTTCTGGTGGAAGGAGGCAGGGACCAGCACAGCATGGCGGATCTCACCCTCCAGGCCCTCTCCTGGCTGTGCAGCCGGCATGATCTGGGCTCGGAGGCCGCCACTGCACAGCTCCCCGCCCCCCTCAATGGTAACTTTGCGGGAGGCAGGGCGGGTTCCTGGCGGTCAGTGCTGCCCATGCGGAGGCGTTCAGAGCCATGTAAATGGGTCTCCAGGGCTTGGAGGGACTGCACATCCTGGGCCTGTGGCGTGGTGTGGGCCTGGGAGGATGGGCAGCCTGCTGCTGGCTGTGCTGCTGGCTTTGGCCTCCGTGCCCAGGGCTCAGGCTGTGTGGCTGGGGAGACTGGACCCTAAGCAGGTACAGTCTCCTGGGGGTGGGGAAAGCTGGTCCTCCGAGGCCGGTTCCTCCTCTAAGGCCACACAACTTCTGGGTCCCCCAAGACCAGCCCAGACCAGCATGGGCAGTGGGGGATGGGATGGGCTGGCCCTGGGGCTTCCAGAGGTAGGAGCCTCAGGGCAGGAGGGCTGGATGCTAAGGCTGGACGGCTGGAGGCTGGAGGGAGGCTGGAGGCTGGATGCTGAGGCTGGATGGTTGGAGGCTGGAGGGAGGCTGGAGGCCGGTGGCCCTCACCTGAGCAGCCTCAATGCAGCTTCTTGGGCCCTGGTACGTGCTTGCGGTGGCCTCCCGGGAAAAGAGTTTTGCAGTGGAGAAGGACATGAAGAACGTTGCGGGGGTGGTAGTGACCCTCACTCCAGAAAACAACCTGCGAATGCTGTCCTCTGAGCAGGGGTGAGTGGGGCGGGTCCTCTGAGCAGGGGTGAGTGGGGCGGGTCCTCTGAGCAGGGGTGAGTGGGGCGGGTCCTCTGAGCGGGTGGGGGGGTGAGTCTGGCGGGTCCTCTGAGCAGGGGTGAGTGGAGTGGGTACCTCGGGGCCTTCCCGCAGGCGGGCCTATGGCTCAGGCAGAGACTCCACATGCACTTGGGCACCGCGGCCTGGGGGCTTCCCACGGCCCCTCTGCGCTCCCCTCACTGTTCCCGCTGGCTCTGCGGGGAGCCACCAGCCCCCTGCCCAGCTTCTCATCTGTGTCCCTGGGCCTCCGGTGGGACTCCCGCCTTCAGCGCCGCGGCCAAGCACCACTCTGACCACCTGCTTGACGTGTCCCTGGCCAGGGTCATCTGGGCTGCAGGCCGCGGTCACGGCGGGGAAGCCTGCTCTCTCAGGGACCTTTTTCAGGGATTCTGTTGGAAGGAGGGCCTGAGAACCACCGGTTCTTTCACAGCATCAATCCCCAAACAGTGTTCTCATGGTGGCTGTTGGCCGGGCTGGCCTTGTGACCACAGGCGTGGCGGGTGGCAGCGTGCAGGGCTGGGGTGGGCCAGGCTGCGGGCGGCCGTGCTACCCAGGGGCCACCTACAGGGCAGCCAGGCTGTGCGGCAGCCATGCTGGGCAGGCGTCGGGGCCTGCGTCCCTTCGCAGAAGAGTGGGCTGCTGGCTGGCGGGGTGCACGTCCACCCACTGGCAGGCTGGCTGCATAGCCCAGGCCTGAACCACTGAGCCAGGCACGGGCAGGGAGGGGAGAGCCTGCCCTCCTCCCAAGGGTGCTCTCCCCTGCACCTGCGCCTGCAGGGGATGTGCAGGGGCCCCACTGCACCCCGGGGCCCACCTGGCCTCAGGGCAAGCTGGGTCGCAGGAGCTCCAGGTTGAGGGGCAGCTCCAGCCTGGCTTTCCTCGGCCTTCTTGCTGCAGGGACTTCAGCCTCCGCTTCCTTCGTTGGCAAATGCCGCGGCACCTTGCTGGGGTTTGCTCACTCCGGGGACCGAGCACTCGGGGAGCACGACCCCTGCCCCTGGGTCGCAGGTGAACGCCTGTCCCCAGCAGCATTCAGCACCCCTGGTGGAGGTCTGGGCCGAGGGGCTCTGGGGAGGTGGACGCGCGTGTTCGCTCTCAGGGTCCGGTGCTGCTCACTCCCCGAAGGCAGGCGTCTGGGCATGGGGCGTCTGGCAGAAGACGGCAGCTGTGGCCTCACTGCCAGCGGCCTGGCCTGGCCTGAACGAGCTCGACCTCCTCTCATGGGGCTCGGGGTCTGCCCCTGCGTGGGTGACGGGCCCCTTCTTTTCCAGGCTGGAGGGGTGCAGCCAGAGTGTCACGGAGCTGTTGAAGCGGAACTCCGGATGGGTGTTTGAGAACCCCTGTGAGTCTGACGGGGGGGGGGGGCTCGCCCAGGCCTTCCTTCCCTGCAGCGTCCCCCGGCCCCCTGTGGGCAGGGACGGGGGGGGGGAGGAGGGGCAGACGCCACTCCCAAGCTCTGGTCTTGGGTCTGGTGCCCGTCCTGAGGGTGAAGAAAGGCCCCTGGACACCGGAGTGGACCTTCCTCCCAGCAGGCTCAGACACCCGTGGGGCCCAGCCAAGGTCTCTAGGGCCCCCGTGAGTGCACAGGGTGAAGCACCCGTTCACTGGTGTCCTCGGGGACAGGGCTGGGCCCGTGTGACCTGCCGCTCCCCGTTCACGCCTGCGACAGGCTGGGGCAGTGCTCGTAGGTCTGTCCATCAGTCTCCAAAAGTCCCTTTATGCCGGCAGCAGGTGGGGTCGGGGGTGGGGGACGGAGCTCGGGAGCTCTGGGTGTGCTTCGAGGGGCCTCCTGGGGTTGGGGGCTCTCACTTGAGTCGGCCCCTCCGTGCCTGTGGCCTGCGCCCCCTCAGCAGCCCCGGGACGGATCAGCAGCTGCCTCCCCCACTGTGGGGGTCTGTTTCCTAGCGGTAGGCGTGCTGGAGTTCCGGGTGCTGGGCACCAACTTCAGGGACTACGCCATCGTCTTCACGCAGCTGGAGTTTGGGGACGAGCCCTTCAACACCGTGC